TGTTAACAGAAACAAGTCATGAGTCCCAAGCTCTTCTCTTTCTGTTGCTTTGTTCTTCACAAAAATTAAAAAAAACAAAAAAAAAAAAAAAAAAAAAGAAATGTGTTATTTATCATTCAGTGCAATAATGCTTAGCACACAGGAATGGCTTAATAAATGTTATGTGAGATTGCTAATTCCAGCTGTTGTTGCTGAGAGCCCTGGGGGCTTGTTTCTGTTTCTGCAGTTACTAGGCCTGGTGGGAGTCCGAAAGGCAATGGAGTGGGTCTTTTCACCACAGGAACTCCTCTGGCTGGATGAGCTCATGCCAGAGGAGGAGAGGAACATCCACGAGAAGGGGCTGGAGCCAGAGCACTTGTTCAGTGGGAGTGACAGTGAAGATGTAAGCTCCAGGCCAGGTCCTTCTAGGGGAATGGGGAGGGGTTGAGCAATTGCTCTTGTCTAAAAGCTGCCCCCCATGTCCATGTCTAATATCTTCATTAAACACGAAGAGCCAATTAACACAGCTTTCTTTGGCTCTGCTTTTTACATAGGCAGAATGAAGGGCTGAGGGAGTTCTTCCTTCATAGGCAAGTTTCTGAGCCTCTGGAGGTAGAGAGGATTGAGGACACAGCTCTGTGGGCTATCTCCTCAACCCTAATCTCTTTTTTATCTTGAATGTGGGTTCTTGGGTCCCTTCATTCACGTTTTTCTCTCAGTCCAACTTTTTGTCTGTTCCCAAACCATCTTTGGATGTTTCTTCCACAGTCAGAGCTGATGTATCAGCCAAAGGCTCCAGAAATTAACATCTCTGTGAATTAGCTGGAGTAGGAGTCTCAGAGTGTAGACCCCTGTCAGCTGAACATGAGGTAAGTGCTCCTGATGTTGAGGGTGTGGAGATATGGGAGCAGACTTTGAATACTTCCTATTTTCTGCATGGATATCCCTGTTTTCTCCTTATATTAGAATCCCTCATGAACTCTGGAGTTGGGGAGGAAGTAAAAAGATCGCCCCAAGGGGAAAAATGAAACAGATCTAGGGTAACTTTGACTTCCTGAAGTCCTTTAGTCTTTCCAGTAGAGGGAGCTCAAGCTCACTCCAAACAGAACCTAGGCTATGAAAGAGCAGGGAATGGGAGGAAGGGAGGTGATGACCATGAGGGAAGAAAAGGAAGGAGAGGAGGGGAGTATAAAGCCCATGCTTCCCTTGCCCAGGAGCTTCCTTCCCAAGGCTTACTAAGAACTATGCTGCAGACAGGTGGAGGGGTTCTCTCTCCCTTGCCCTCTCTTCCTTTCATTTTATTCACCCATATATCACTTCTGAGGTGTATCAAATATATCTGTATCATAGAGTACCTAGGCACTAGATATACTGTGGTGAGTACAGCAATCATATTCCCTGTCCTCAGGAAACTTGAAGTAGGAGAGTGTCCTAGGTTTCTTTTCTGTCGCTGTGGTAAACACCGTGACTGAAAACAACTTAGGGGAGGAAAGGGTTTATTTCAGCTTACACTTCCAGGTTACAGTCCATCATTGAGGGAAGTCAGAGAAGGACCTCAAATAAGAACTCAGAGGCAGAAACCATAGAGGAACACTGCTTTACTGGCTTGCTGCCTGGCTAGCTTTCTTATATAGCCCAGGACCATCCACCTGCCTAGGGATGATGCCATCCACAGTGGGCTGGTCCCTCTCACATCAGTCATCAATCAAGATAATCGCTCACAGACATGGCTCCAGGCCAGTCTTATCTAGGCAGTTCTTCAATGAGGTAGTCCTCTTTCCAGATGACTATAGGTTGTGCCAAGTTGACAATAAAAATGAACCAGCACAGGGAGTCAGACAAATTGACAGTTTTTAGTGGGAGAGTGCTGGATAAGTTAAACACAAGCCATGGGAACAGAGAACCCTTGCTTGGAAATAAGTGGAAGTGGGGTCTTAACAGAAAGTGGCCCATAATTTGAAATCTGAAGAATGAATAAAAGCTATCCAGGACAAGATGGAGGGGGAACTATTTTATGGAGGGGAAATAGTCTATGCAGAAGCCACAACATGTTACAAGAGCCTAGAAGCTGAACTCTTTCTTGGGCAACAGGACACCTATCTCCACACCTCTAGAAGCCTAAGAGCCCCATCACTTGAAATGGATCATTTTATATCACTATTGAGGGTATCACTAGTAACCTAGGCTGCCCTCCAACTTGTGATCCTTCTGCTCCAGCCTCCTGAGTGATGAGATTACAAGTGTGTGCCATCACATATAGCTCTGCAAGGAAAGACTTGAGGCAGGGAAGGTTGAGGGAGAACGGGCAATTCACTAGCTGGCCCAGACAAGATCTGGACTTTCCTCATCTCTGTTCTTTTTTCTACATAGTTCCTCAGTACTTGCTTTGGCCTGACCATAGCTTCTCTCGGTTCACAGGTGTTTTATTCAGGAAGTCAAGACATTGATGGCCTTTGGCTTTCACTGCTAAATGCTGTTGGCTGGGGATCTGGAATAATGATGCACCTCTCAAGGGCAGCTGGCCAAGACCTCAGTTACCTTTTGAGCTGGAGGTAGAATGTAGCAGGAAGCTACTGGTATATGCTACTTAAGATAGGAAAATGAGCCAGAGGGACCAGCCAGGTGCCATGTGCTTTCTACAGTCTCTACACATTAAAGGAACCTGAACACAGAAGTCCTGCTCATTTTAACTGCTGGCCCTCAAGTTCTCTTTTATAGAATGTTGGGATCATCTTTTCTACTTGTAAAAGAGAGGGAAAAAATTGTGGTGGTTCTCATCTGTAATCCCAGTGGGAGGCTGAGGCAGGAGGATTATAGTCTACTATATGGAGTGAGACCCTGTCTCAAAAAATAAAAAACAAAAAGGGAAAAAAGGTTCTTGACCAACTCAACTGTAAGTGAATAAAAGTCAGATTTTAGACAATAAATTATACCAAACCCAGTGAAATAGAACTTAAGTTGACCTACTTTCTTTCTTTCTTTCTTTCTTTCTTTCTTTCTTTCTTTTTTCTTTTGGTTTTTTTTGAGGCAGGGTCTCCCTATAGCCCCAGCTGGCTTGGAACTCACTATGTAGACCAGGCTGGCCTTGAACTCACAGAGATCTGCTTGTCTCTGCCTCCCCAGTGCTGGGATTAAAGGCGTGCACCCTCTTCTTTTCTTTTATAAGCATTTCTCTATTTGAAAGTTTTTTTTTTTTGGTCTTTTTGAGACAAGATCTCCCTGTAGCCGCAGGTGGCCTGGGTTCACTAATAGAGACCAAGCTGGCCTCAAACTCACAGAGATCCACCTGCTTCTGCCTCCCAAGTGCTAGGATTAAAGGCATGCGCCACCATGCCTGGCTTGAAACAGTTTTTTGCACATACAAAATAACCTTTTATTATTTTGTTGATCACAAAAGTAAATGAAGTTATGGAAAATATTGAAACATAGAAATATATAACTTTGAAATGGAAATCATACTAGAAGTAACCATATTTTAATGTTTGTTGTTGAGATTTGTTTCAATGAACACATTAATATGTTTATTAAATGGAATTATACTATGGAGCTTCACAATATGCTTATCACTAATATTCATTGGACATTTTCTTGACATATGTATGCGCTTCATTCCTTTTATTATCTGCACAGGATAAATAATCTTATAAATTGAAAAAGATGAGAAAGACTATATAAAATACCTTCTGTAAGTACAAGAATTTCCACAGTGTGTATACCTAGGGGTGAAATTAAAGAGTAACAATGAGTATGAAAATACCAAATGAAACCCACCACTTTGTATGCTAACTTAAACATTAAAAAATACTTTGTAGCAGGGCTGGAGCAACTACTCAGCAGTTAAGAGCACTGACTGCTCTTGCAGAGGACCTGGGTTCGATTACCAGTACAACATGGCAGCTAACAACTGTTTGTAACTCCAGTACCAGGGGATCTGACACCCTCTTCTGACCTCCTCAGACATTGCACAACACAGGTGCACTTACATTCAGTCAATAATACACTCATACATGTAAAATAAAAGTAATAAATAAAATATTAAAAATACTTTGTAGATAATTGAAAAGAAAACAAGAATGACAATGATCCAGGTGTGATAGTAGACACCTATAATTCTAGCACTATGGAGGCTGGGGTAGGAGGATTGCAAGTTTGAGGCCATCCTGGGCTATAAGGTGAGTTCAAGGCCAGCCTGGGCTATACAGCAAGACTGTCTCAAAATACCAAAAACAAAGAAGAACAATGAAAGGGCTGGGAATGCATTTAATGGTAAGCTCTTGCTTAGAGAGCACAAGGTCCTGGGGTTCACCCCAAGTTCCTCCCTGACGAGACTAACAATGAAAAGAATCTCCAAGATAAGAAATAGGATTTTTTTTTAAAAAAAGAATTTATGTTTTGCGTGTGTGTGTGTGTATGTGTGTGTGTGTGTGTGTGTGTGTGTGTGTGTGCTTGAGGAGTCCAGAAGGGTGAATTGGATCTCTTGAAGCTGGAGTTACAGGTGGTTGTAAATTACCCAATGTGGGTGCTGGGGACTGAACTTAGGTTCTCTACAAGAGCACTGTTGAGCGGTCTCTCTAGTTCAAGAAATAGGATATTTTAAGCTGAAGGCGGTGGTACACATCTCTAATTCCAACACTTGGGAGGTAGAGGCAGGGAGATTAGCAGTTCAAGATCATCCTCAGATACATACTGTGTTTGAGACAAGCCTGGGCTACACGAGATCCTGTTTCAAAAACCAAAAAGGGACAGTGAGATGGCTTGGCAGATAAAAGTACTTGCTATCAAGCCTCCAACTTGAGTTGATTCCCCAGGACCCACCCACAAGGTGGAAGGAAAGAACTGACTCCTCTGACCTCCACATGCATGTTGTAGCATGTACACACACACACACACACACACATACACACACACACACACAATCTAATAAGAAAAAGAAAGTGAGCCAGGCATGATGGCATATACCTTTAATCCCAGCACTCAGGAGGCAGAGGCAGGAAGGTCTCTGTGAATTAAAGGCCAGCCTGGTCCACACAGAAATGGCTCATCAGGTAAAGATGCTTGCTGCCAAGTGTTCAATCCCTGGATCCCACATGGTAGAAGGAAAAAAACCAATTCCTGCAAACTGTCCTCTGACCTCTGCACATGTACTATTGTACATGTGCACCCTGTATACACAAAGTAAATAAATGAAAAATTTTAAATTGTATCTTTTTATTTATGTGTGTCTAAGTATATGTCATATACGTGTGGATACCCTTGGAGGCCACAAAAGGGTGTCAGAATCCCTGGAGCTGGGGTTACAAGAAATTGTGAGCTGCTTAACATGGACACTGGGAACCAAACTCGGGTCCTCTGCAAGAGTAGTACATGCTCTTAACTGATGTACCATCTCTCCAGCACAGCCCCCCAACACCCTTTTTTTTTTTCAAAGACAGGATGTAATTGTTATAGCCCAGTCTGTTCTTAAATTCTGAACTGAGGACTGGTATGAGTTCAAGGTCAGCCTAGGCTACACTGTGAAACCCTATTTCAAAAAAGACACACACACACACACACACATACACACACACACACACACACAGGAATGCTTTAGGAGAAAAATATTTGAGGTCAGTGTTGGCTCATAGTCTGTCATTTGCTTGCTCAAACCAGGCCATATGAGCCTGAGATAGAGGCACTAACTTATAGGCTACAGTTTTCTGTCAATAAAATAGAGCCCCAAACCTGAGTTTTTAGTCTTGTATTCTGCAAAGATTAATTAATACCATAAAGTTGTTTAAAATCTTTAGATGAAAGACCTACAGCTGTATACAAGCGCCAGGGAAATCCTTCATTTCAGTTATTTAGACCTTTCCTCTCCAGCCTGAAGCTGTGGAATAATGGTTCTCAAAGTTTTGTGGACATTCGAAGCAAAGGTTATGGTAATTCCTGGGCTCTCCCTGATTCCCCCCCGCCCCCCCCAGGTTCTGAATTCTGTTGTTTTTCTGTCCACTTGTCTGGTCCCTCATGCATCTCAGAACTTTAGATTTTTGTCTTTGCAAAGGGATTTGAGCATGTACTTGTACATAAATAATATCGTCAGAGAATCTCTAGTCCTTTTGTTTTTGAGAACACAAAGACATTGGGGAGGAATGTGTTGAACCTACTGAAGAAGGCATAGTGTCTAAATCTTCTCAAATGTGGGTGAACATTTGGAGAATTTGGGGTAAACCTTTGAATGAAAGGAGAGAGGAAACGCTTCTGCTAATTAAGAGAAAATGGTGTAAAGCTGAGTGTGGTAACACATACCTGAAATCCCAAAACTGGGGAAGTAAAGGCAGGAAGATCAGAAATTCAAGGCCATCTTGGCTACATAGTAAGTTAAAGGCCAGCCTGGGCTACATGAGATGCTGTGTCAAACAACAACAAAAGGAACAAAAAACAAAAATCAAGATGGATCAATGAACCTTTTAAAAAAAACATTTCATTTATTATTTTTATTTTATGTGTATGAGTGTATCGCCTACATGTATGTGTGTGCACTCATGTCATGCAATGCCACGGAGGTCAGAAGAGGGTGTTGGATACCCCTGGAACTGGAGTTAAGGACAGTTCATAGCCGCCATGTGGGTGCTGGGAATTGAACCCAGGTCCTCTGCAAGAGCAGTCAGTGTTCTTAACCGCTGAGCCATCTCTCCAGCCCCATCAATGAACCTTTTAATCAAGATGGCTCAGAAAGCAAAAGAAGCTCTTCTTCCTAAAGTTGAAGCCCAAAACAAAAGTGTTGAAAGCCAACAAGGCAGCACTGTAAAGTATCCACAGCTATAAAAAGAGAAGATTCACATGTCACCCTACTTCCGGAAGTCCAAGATCCTGAAAAGGCAGCCCTTGGAAGAGGGCCCCCAGGAGAAACAAGCTTGATCAGTACACCATCATCAAGTTCCCCCAGCTACTGAGACATCTTATGGCTGTCAAGGCTAAGAGGTGCCAGTTCAAGTAGGTTGTGAGGAAGCTCGATTGATAAGGAGAAGTTATATTTTATAATCAAAGTTATATACTCTCCTTCTAAACTTAGATTATTTTGTGGTTTCCTTTTGTTTTACTTATTAGGTAGATATCTTGAAATGCACCTCTGTGATGTTTTACTACTCAGTGATGTTTAGTACTCTGTAACATCTTGAAGCTCTGTAATGCTTTCCACTCACCATGTATAACTACCGATAAAGATGTGAAACTAAGAAAATGGCATGTTCACTAATAATAAGGGACCTGGTCCAATTAGACTGAAAGAAGAGTAGATGAAATATGACAGATATCTAAACTTCTGCCTGTGATAATCTGCTTTCTGTAAGCTGCAATGACTCACCAACTCTTGGCTCAATTAACCTAGCCTAGCTATAGATCAAAAGGTGGCAGATGTTCTGATCTATGCTTGGGATACCTACTCTGTAAACCATGATGACCAAGAAACTCAGGAAGGAATTTTCCTGAGATAGCATAGCTTATCATGAAGAGACAAAGAGCCCAGGTGGTATCAACCATAAACTGATGACGTGGAAATCCCTATATAACGTCACTTGTATTTTGTTCTTGGCCTAGAAAACTTTGATGCCTTTGTTGCTAATTCTGGGACCACATGCATGTGAAAACTAAATGAGCTCTCCAACTCTCTCCTGGGTGATGTTCCTGATCTCTTAGCTGTTTAAAGAATTTTTCTATAGTGCTATGACACTGATGTGGCCAAAGTCAACACCCTAATCGGGCCAAACAGAGAGAAGGCCTATGTTCTACTGGCTCCTGATTATGATGGCTTAGAATAGATGATGCTAACAAAATTATAATCATCTAAACTGTGAAGTTTGTCCATAAGATGCTTCAAAAGGCAAGGAAGAAGGGCTGGGGATAGAGCTCAGTTGGTAGAGTGCTTGCCTAGCTTGAACAAATCCCTAAATTCAACCCCCAGCACTGAAAAAATTGGATATATGGAATCAAATACTGATAATCCCACCCCTGGAGAGCTAAAGACAGGAGGATCAGAGTTCAAGGCCATCCTGAGATACATAAGGCTCTGTCTCAAAAATTTTTTTTTAAAAAGTCAAAGAGGACATATATTCAAAGAAGATATATATA